AGTGATCTGGGGTGATTGGGGTTCATGTGTTCATGTAGGGCTGTGAGTCATCTGGGGTTTGGTGTTTGTTCATATAGGGCTGTGAGTGATCTGGGGTGATTGGGGTTCTTGTGTTCATGTAGGACTGTGGGTCATCTGGGGTGATTGGGGTTCGTGTGTTCATGTAGGGCTGTGAGTGATCTGGGCTGATTTGGGGTCATGTAGGGCTGTGAGTCATCTGGGGTGATTGGGGTTCGTGTGTTCATGTAGAACTGTGAATGATTTGGGGTGATTGGGGTTCGTGTGTTCATGTAGTACTGTGAGTGATCTGGGGTGATTGGCGTTCATGTGTTCATGTAGGGCAGTGTGTCATCTGGGGTCATTGGGGCTGGTGTGTTGATGTAGGACTGTGAGTGATCTGTAAACAGATCCCGTGATGGGAACGGAATCCCCCACACTCATCCTACCAGCTGGGACCAGGCCATGTACCACAGACCTTCAGGGCATCGGCTGGCAGGACAGTGCTCCCCTGGGTCTGCCTGGAGCCACCTGAGTTCCCTGGAACAAGGGCCCTTTAGGCCAGTGGTTAAGTAGCGTGACCCAGAAGCAGTGCCCTGCCATGCTCACTCTCTGCACCGTGACCCCGCGCCAGGCCATCACTGTGCCTTCTGGATACCTGCTCGCATGGAGGGGCTCAGGGGCCCTTGTGATTGGCTTGTTCCTGGAACACTCGGGGCCTGGCTTCTTGATCAAGACACTCGCCCGATACGCAGAAGCAGCCTTCTCTCCCCTCCTGGTCAGAGCTCAGCCGACGCCCCCCTTCCCCCCAGGATAAGCGTCAGTGGCCCCAGCGTGCAAGGTGGGAGCAGAGGTGAAAGTCTCCCACCCCAAAAGCCAGACCAAGAGCTTGGACTTGGGGTGTGGGCTGCCCTGGAGACGCGTGTTCGCAGCAGCAGGCCACGCCTGCCGCCTCCCGTGCGGGTCTCACCGCATCCCCAGACACCTTCCAGCCTGAAAGGGAGGTGGCACATTAGGCCTTCTGCTTCTTCTCTGGCCTTTCCCTGTGGGCGCTGGAGGACAGGTCCCACTCGGGGCGTCACAGCCCAACAGGATGCGCGCTCCCCCGAGACCTGCTGCCTTCTAAGTCCCTAAACAGTCACCCCTTCACACTTTCCTCACGTTTTTCTTACTTAAAATCGTCTTTTTGGGAGAAGTTTGCAGGCTGTTTCCTGAGGTCTGGGCCAGCGGCCCCACCATGCCCTGACCCAGCAGTTCCCTTGGCCGAGGGCTGAGTGTCCGCATGCACAGGAGCTCCTGGCCTTGCTGTGCAGGGTGTGGCACTGCCACCCCCACCCCCACAGCTCACAGCCGCGCTCCATGTCATGTCTCCTTCCAGCCTCCATGCAAACAAAAATAACACTTTGTCCTCCAAGCAAACGAGCAGAGGCTCAGGACCCTCCACAGCCCATGGCTCTCGGGGCACACCGAGGCTCGTGCTGCGACACCCTTCTGGGGTGTGCACATGGCTGGCTCTCCCGCGCTCCCCACACCCCCACCCCAGAGTGAGCGCCGCCCAGCACCGCCCCACATGCGCCCTCTGCCACCAGGACCCCAACCTCCTCGCAGCCTCTCTGGACCCCGGGAGTCCCAGGACCTGGGTGCAGACTCTGAGGCGTCGGGGGGCCAGCAGCGCTGCCTGGCTCTCTGCGGGGTGTGTTCATTGTTCTCCCTAGTGGGGTTTCTGCAGCTTTGGGGCACCATGGCTCCCAAGGGCTGTGCTGACAAGGCCTTCAGCCCTGAGCAGCATGCGGCAGGCCCTCTGCTAAGCCAGGCAGAGTGCACATCCCCCACGGCACTCCTCCCACTGCGCGTGTCCCTGATCGTTCTGAATTACGGTGTAGGGCAAGCTCCTGCGCCTCCTCCTGACAGGGCTGCCACGTGGGACCCTACGTGTGGGTCCCTTGGCCTGGGAGGCTCCAAGGTCCCTGTAGCCAAGTCTCGCATGTACAGCCCTGAGCTGGGTTCTGTGTACTGGGCAGGCTCAGGGCGGGGCTCCCATTTTTGCTGGTCCCCACCCAGGTGCCTGTCACCTGGGTGAGAGGCCACCTGTGTACCCCAGCTCCTGGGGGTCCGCCCGCGGGCAGCAGGTAGGGCATTCCCCGACTGCCTGTGTTCTCAATTTGGGCACAGATGGTTTAAAGGTGGTGTCTCTCATTCAGGTAGGGTGTGTCTTCTTGACTTTTAGATGGTGAAAATTTTAAGAAAAATAAACAGTTTGCTCTTGCTTCAGAAACTCCCTTCCCTGAATGTCCTTTGGCTCTTAGCCTGGCAGGTGGGCTCTGCGGGTGCAGGGTCAGGGGGATCCTGTGTGCAGGACAGACAGGGTCGGTGGGCCAGGGACACACATGCCCAGCCCCAGCCCCGCCCCCCGGAATCTGCCAGGAGACTCACACTCAGCCCCTCCTGTCCCCGCAGACACAGCCGGTGCCCAACCCCATGGCATACTACCTGCACCGCTCACCCTGGTGGTTCCACCGCTTCGAGACGCTCAGCAACCACTTCATCGAGCTCCTGGTGCCCTTCTTCCTCTTCCTCGGCCGGCGGGCGTGCGTGGTCCACGGGGTGCTGCAAATCCTGTTCCAGGTGAGCCTGTGCCGCCCGCTCTGCCCGTGTCCGTAGAGGTGCTGGCCCGTCTCTGTTTCTGGCTGCCGCTGTCTGGGAGGCCCCTGGAGGGTTACCGGCTCCCTTTGGGGGAAAAGCCTGTCCTCACCAGCTTCTCCGCATCCCCTGTGGGGCCCCACTGCCGCCCTGTCCCAGGCTGGAGGCCAAGGGTCTCCTTCCCAGGCTTCCTCCAAGGTCTGGCTCCTCTCAAGAGCATTTCCAGCAGCTTCGAGAGGCCACATTCTAGGCTGGGCAGCAGGAGGGGGTCAGGCACACCGAGGCCCTGTGTGGACGCCCCACATGCCTGTGATCCTTTAAGATTCTTCCATTCTGGAGCTTTCCTTCCACGTGTTCACCAGGAATCAGAGGGCTGAGAGAGGTCAGGGGGCTGAGCTTCGGCATCTGACAGGTTGCCCCTGCTGACCGCCCCAGTCGGTGTTCACAGGTATTAATGCTCTTGGCCACATCCCACAGTGTCCCCGTCCGTCCCTGACCACAGCAACCCGAAGTTCCGAGATAATCACGCGTAAAGTACAAGAAGGCTTTAATCAAGGCTTAATTTTCAATAGGACTAATATCCAATCACGCATGATGGTTAATACTCAGTAAGTCTGATCATGGTACTTATTCCTAAACTCTCCTGTGCATAGTCTGTTAAGAAGAATTGGCTGAGGCTTCAGTCGCCTGCTTCAGCACTTAGGAAATTTTCCAGCCACATGGCAGAGCACCGCAGGCTCTCGGGGCAAAGCTCCGCCCACAGGCGTGGGTGCCGCGCCACGTTGCTGGTGCACGCGGGGGTGCCCACGGTTGTCGGCTGGGTCCTGTTTGACCACATGCACGTCCTGCAATCGATGGGTCCGTCCCTCTGGACTCGTCCCTGTGGACTCGTGGTAGCGTCTGGTTTTCACCATAGCCTGCTGTGCACACACACAATCTTGTTCTCCCATGGACATGTTTTCACGGGCGCTGCTGTTTCGTGAGCATTCGCTGGAAGTTGCACTTGTCCTGGTGGCCACGCCGTTCTTGACCCCGCTCCCTAGCAAGGCCCCTCGTTCTGGCCGTCACGCCCTGAGCAGCTCCCGAAGCATTCAGCCTTTTCCGTGTTGGCCGCTCGGAGGCTGGTGCTGGTAATTCCGGGGAGATTCCCTGGCAGGCATCGATGCTGCTGAGAATCTAAGTGGGAAGAACTGACTTGCTCACAGAGGGTCTCCATCCAGGACCACGCATTTCTCTCTGCGGCTACTTGGGGCTCCTGGAATGCTTCAGTGGATTCTGTATGGCCACACTTCTCGCGTGTCTGGGGGCAGCAGCTCCTAGGTGACTTTTATTGTTGGTGTTGTGAACAGGTGCCCTTTTAAGTACATTTCCTCCTCTTGGTTGCTAAGCATGGGGTGCTGGTGACCACAGCCTCTCTCAGCTCACCTCTGGTACAACCCATCTGGCCACAGGTCCCCTGAAAACGTATCATGGGCATGATCCTGGGATTCTGCCGATCCTGCGTCCATCCTTCTGCCCTGCTGGGTGGGATCCGGGGCGTCCTGGGTCGTGGGTCCCACAGCAGGGAGGGCCCCCACACCCTGCTTCTCACGATACCAGCTGTGGGTTTCGCGGCTGCTTTTAAGTTCTCTTTTGTGGTTTGCAAGTTATGAATGGATGTTGAATTGTAGTGTTTTTCTCCATCAGTCATGAGGAGATTATTTGTGCTTTAATCTGTGACACGGTGAGCTGCAGATGCTGAAGCAAGCTCGCGTTCCAGGACAATTGCGCCTCTTCCTCTGCAGGAGCCGCAGAAGCAGAGGTGACCGTCCCTCACACCTGGCATGCCCATGCGTGAGGCCACCTGTGTCACCAGGGTCTCCGTGGCTGCTCCCCCTTGGGGGCCCCAGGACACACAGGGTTTCTACTCCTTCTGAGGCAGTTTTTGTAGTGAACATTTTCTCAGGAATTTGTTCATCTGTTTTCAAATTTGTTGGCAAAAAAATCGTCATAATATTCTCATAATAGAACCTGGATTTGTGAGCGTCTCTTTCTGGGCCTATGGCTTTAATCTTTCTTTTGGTTTTCAGACGGAGTCTCCCTCTGTTGCCAAGGCTGGAGCGCAGTGGTGCCATCTCAGCTCACTGCAACCTCTGCCTCCCGGGCTCACAGTATTCTCCCACCTCAGCCTCCAGAGTAGCTGGAATTGCAGGCGCCCGCCACCACGCCTAATTTTTGTATTTTTACCAGAGAAGGGGTTTCTCTACAAAATGTTGGCCAGGCTGGTCTCAAACTCCTGACCTCGAGATCCACCCACCTCGAGATCCACCCACCTCGGCCTCCCAAAGTGCTGGGATCACAGGCGTGAGCCAGAGTGCCCGGCCTGTGTCCTTATTCTTAAAGAGACAGGGTCTTACCCTGTCGCCCAGGCTGCAGTGCAGTAGCAGTCTCAGCTCACTGCCTCAGGTGATTCGCTCACCTCAGCCTCTCAAGTAGCCAGGACTCCAGGTGCCACCATGCCTGGAGGTTTTTAATTTTTTTTAGAGCTGGGTGTCTTGCTGTGTTGCCCAGGCTGGTTTTGAACTCGGGGGCTTGAGCACTCCTCCTGCCCGACCTCCTAAAAGGCCGTGACTGCAGGTGTGCGCCACCGCGCCCCGCCCCTGGGCCTGTGTCCTCACTGCAGCTCCTGAGGAGCGAGGCCACCATTAAGGTCAGCCTGGCTGTCCTTCTCAGTAACGGGCCCCTGGAGCCCCACGGACATGCTTGGACTGATTTCCACGTCCTTTTGTTCTTTGTTAGAAATAGAGCTTGGGGTTGTGAGGAAAATTAGTACAGGATTTTTTCAGCAAAGTGAATATTTTTGCGCAGAGGGTGCTTGTTCTATGGCTGGTTATGAGAAAGGAGGATGAAAAGTGTCATTGCTGATCGCCGACTACACAATGTAAGCTAGACTTGATTGACTGAATCTTTAAACTTTTTTCTAGATAAGGTGGGCACGTGAGCGAGGGGAAGGGGCAGGGTTGTCTGTGGCGAGGTAGAGAGCGAGTCTGCTTACATAAGGAGACGGATGTGGGCTGGGGCTGCAGCTCGCCTGGCGTGTGTGTTTGCAGAAGAAAGGAAGCAGCAGTGGGCACAGGGAGTTCAAGGGCCAGCCTGGCTCACGTTCTTTGTATCTTTCTCTTGCATTTCCTGTTAGCTTCCCCCCGCCGATGGAGAAGGAAGACCGTTTCCTCAGTGGTTATTGGCCGGGGGACTTACCGGAGGTCTCAGTGTGGGCAGCATCGCTGCCACCATGATCCCAGGGTCCTCTGCCCACCCCAAGCCCCCTGCAGCGGTCGCTCCAGTGTTTCAGCTCCGTTTTAATAGACTTATTTTAGCACAGTTTTAGATTTACAGGAAAACTGCAGGGATGACAGAGGCTCCCTTATCCCCTCTCCCCCGTCCCCCGTGTCCCTGCCCTCAGGGACTTGCAGCGGCTGAGGCAGTTAAGAGTCGTTGGGCAGGGTTGATACATGCTTGCTGATGGGAGGGCCATGCGTGGCGTCCCTCATTCTGTGGACTCCCACAACCATGATGCGTGTCCCCATCACGGAATGGGAGGGGACCTTGGAACCAGAGGCCCCCAACCATGTCCTGTGCCTCAGCATGCAGGAACCTGGCCCGGGGGTGGGATGAGAACTGGACTAACGGCCCCAGTGCAGGCAGACAGGGACCCGCCCAGGTGTGATGGCCGGGCTGCGGGTCCCCCCGGTTCCAGCCCAGTTTTGGAGTCCGCTGCCTGGTGGGTAGGTGGTGGAGGACAGTGGGGACGAAGGGAGGGGACAGAGCCGGGCCTCGGAGCTCAGGCCATGTCCACCTCTCCAGGACGAGGTGGAAGCAGCCGGGACCGTGGCTCTGCAGCCTGGCCTGGTGTCCCCCGAGGAGGAGAGGCTGGTGGGCCAGCTGTCCCGGCTGCGATGTGCCCGGCCCCTCACAGGCAGGGTGGGGTCTTGGATGAGGGCCTTTGCCTCACAGGCAGACAGGCCAAAGGGTGTTTGGGGCACGTGCTGTGGGGCTGAGAGTGACCTGCGCTAACATTGCAGCCCCCTGCCTGGGGCCGTGCCCTCGCCTGTGCCAGCCGAGCACCCTGAGACCCAGGGCCGCCTCTGAGCGCCCCCTCCCTGGAGCCCGTTCTGGTTCCATGTGTTCCCATGTTCCTTCCTTTGTGGGATTGAGACATGAGCAGCCTCCCTGCTCCCACGCACAGTTTACACAGCTGTTCCGGAGGGTTCTGCACGGCCCTGGGGCCACTGCCTGCCTGGAGAGGCACACGTGAGCAGTGACCGTCCAGCCCGGCCGCCCAGCCAGCACCCCACGGGAGCCGTCAGCCTCCACCAGGGTGGGAGGGGTAGCGGGTAAGTTCAGGCCTGCAGCCTCCAAGGCGCCTGCTGTTCACAGGGGCTCCCTACCCCGGCCGCCCCACACGCAGGCCAGCTTTCCGAGGCTGTGTCCCGGGCCCTGAGCTCAACGATGGGAAGTTCACGCTTTTGAAGTGAACTCAGAGGCATCCAGCGTGTTCAGAGTGTGCCGCAACCACCGCCTGGTTCCAGAAGTGCCCATACCCCACACCCTGTGCTGGGTGCCACCGGCCACTGGGGCTTCGTCTCTGGATGCGACTGGCATCGTCCATGTGCGCCTCGTGTCCGGCCTCTTCCCTGAGCATCAGGACCCGGGGTCCGTCTCTGTCGGGGCATGTGCTGGAATCTGATTCCTTGGCAAGGCTGGCTGCGTTCCCATGTGTCGGGCACAGGGCTCTAGAGCAGTGCCATTGTGGACGCCGATGGGCCCGTCTCAGACCTCACCTAAGGCAGATTCTGTCTATGCAGCCCGCCACTTCTGTCCCCCACCAGAGAGACATGGGTTCACGCCCACCAGAGTGCCCACCTGAGAGCACAGCACATCCTCAGTGGAGAGGCCAGAGGCTGCATCCAGAGAGCCCCTCTTCCTTCTTGGGGCCACGCTCCTTGGGCCCCCAAACATCTGCTGCCGTGTCTCTTGGGCGCAGGATTCCGTCACTCAAGCTCCTCTTCCTGTGCCGGCCGGGTCATCTGTGGGCTGCACTCACCTCACGAGGGCTCCACCAGCCGGAGGCGAGCACAGATGGGGAGGGTTGTGAGAAGATTGATTTTCCTCTGAGGAGATGGCTCAGTGATGCTGGAAGAAAAACACGGAAGGACGGGGTCCCCCGGGAGCGCTCGGGCCGTGCACTCTACGGAACTGCGTTTTCATAACAAAACAGCTGACCAGATGGAAGGCGAGAGCCGCGCCTCATGTGGATCACGGCCCCATGTCCCTGAGCCCCGGAGCTTCCTCAGAAACATGTCACCCCCTAGATCTGTGCTCCATGGAGCCCTGGTCCCCCACTGGGCTCACGTCAGGATGACCCAAGGCGGCTTTGGAAATGCACTCAGGCCAGGCCTACCCTGACCAACGCAGGCAGGAGCTCGGAGCCCTGGGTGGTTCTGGTGTGGCCGGGCCTCAGAACGGGCGCTGGTTCAGGCTAGGCCCCACGCCGCTTTGGTCCTGTCTGCTAGTCAGGCTGACCACAGGGAAGGGGCGCAAAGGCCCGAGCTTTGTGGCACGGAGAATGGAGAGCAGCACATTCCAGTGGTGCCTGGGGCGTCCCTGCGCCCGTGCCCCAGACCAGCCCTGGTCATGCTCAGTCCGGGTGTGGCGGGGCTGTTTTTGGCACAGGGGTTTGGTAACATTGTAAACGGGAGAGTAGGAAACAATGATTTTTGGGCTCAGAACCAGGAAAACCATTTTTCCAAATTAGCCCAGGAGAGCTGTGAATTCAGTTGATAAAAGCCATCATCACCCGTGAAACCGACGCACTCCACCCGCACCGACCCCTCCTGAGACGTGGTGCCTGTGCCCTCAGCCTTGCTCCTGCGTGACGGGATTAAAGGCTGGGCTTTGCCCCATCAAATCTGGCCGACAGAACGCGACCAGAGCCATCCGAGGAAGCCACGCCCGTGTCTTGCTCACCCCGGTTCCCCAACTCAGCTGAAGACCCCTCGGCCATGCAGGGCGACAGGCCACGCAAGCCACCTCTGTCTCCCCGATGCCTCTGCAGCAGCGGCAGTGGTGAGGCTGGCTGTCCTGTGACCTCCGCAGCAGCTCCGTGTCCAGTGCTGCCAGCTGCGATCACTCCCTGGCCTGCAGGGGTGTCCAGAGCCGGGCCCCTCCAAGTCCCTCCCGCTGCATGGCTTTGCTCACACCTGCGTCTTTCCCTGGAGCTCTCCCGGCCGTGCTCCAGCCCTGCACGCGGCCCCTCCTCGCCCCTGCTGTTCATCTCCGTGGCACCACGTCCTGTGCCCATGTCTTGCTTCCCTGCATTTTGTGTTTTGGCGTGGGGGCGTTCCTGGTGGTGCCCTTGGCTCCCGTTGTCCGTGTCGCCCGTCGGCTGAGGGGCGTCCCGGGCACCTGCTCTCCGAGCGCAGCCTCCTCAGTGTGGCGTGCCAGCCCTCCTCCAGCATGGCCCTGGCAGGCGTCCCCCCGCAAGTAAGGAGCCCCAGCCTTGTGGATCACTAAAACAGACAGACAGAACCTGCACAGAAACGTGCAGTCACGGGAAGAACTTTCTGGAAGCACCTGCCGGAAGGCAACTCTATGGCAGCTGCTGCCCCCACCGTGAAGCCACAGCTGGGTTTGGGTTGTGATGCCAGGGCTGGGGGTGGCAAGGGCAGAGCTGGGTGCAGGGGCCCCTGCTCCGGGAAGCGAGGTTCCACCGTCTGAGTCTCAGCAGCCGTGTCTCCGCAGGCTGTGCTCATCGTGAGTGGGAACCTCAGCTTCCTGAACTGGCTGACCATGGTGCCCAGCCTGGCCTGCTTTGATGATGCCACCCTGGGATTCCTGTTCCCCTCCGGTCCCGGCAGCCTGAAGGACCGAGTTCTGCAGCTGCAGAGGGAAACCCGAGGCGCCCGGCCTGAGCCCAGATTCAGTAGGTGGCTTTGCCTCATCAGTTGTGGGCGGTGGGGAAGGGAATCCTACCCCAGGGCCCACGGGCATGGGAAAGCTGGGCAGTGCCAGCCCCGAGGCCCCACAGGCTGCCTGTGTGGGTTGCAGGTCCCAGCGTAGGAGGTGAGTCAGCCCTGTCTGCTGTGGAACCAGACATGGTGACATCAGGCGCTGCTCTGTTCCCAGGACCTGGGACAGCTGGGCCTTAGTGAGCAGCAGTGGGGGTCTCCCCAGGGGCTGGCCAGGGGGCAGCTGAGAGCCCCGCCTGGAAGAACTCCCCCCGCAGGCTCAGCAGTGCGGCGTGCAGCCAATGTCTCGCTGGGCGTCCTGCTGGCCTGGCTCAGCGTGCCCGTGGTCCTCAACTTGATGAGCTCCAGGCAGGTCATGAACACCTCCTTCAATCCTCTACGCATTGTCAACACCTACGGGGCCTTTGGGAGGTACGTGGGAGACTCGGCCCTGACCAGCCACACCCAGGCGGGGCTGGGGTGTGGGCCCCCATGACCCCATGAGTCCCCTGCCCCAGCCTGACCCAGCCTCTGCCATCCCGGTCCTGTGAGGCAGGTGCCCAAGGGCACCAGGCAGGTCAGCTGCGGCCCTGGAATGCCAGGTGGTGGCATCTGCACACAGGCAGTGCCTCAGGATCCAGGTGCCCTTCCTGCCCTGGGGCTGGCCCCTTGGCCTCTGGTGTCCACCCTGAGCTGCTGAGGGGTGTGGTGCACGTGCCAGCTGCGTATTCAGGGGCAGGGAAGGTGCCCTCGAGTGAGGTACCAGGCAGAGCCACACCCACCATGCTTCCTCAGGGACAGCCACTCAGTAGCCCCAGCCCAGGAGGCGGGTGGGGGATGCAGGCCCCCCGCATGGGCCAGGATGGACTGTCGGGTAGCCCCCGGCCCCCCCAGCCCGGCTGGTGTGTGACGTGGGCCTGACCTGCCCCGGTCTCCTGGCAGCGTGACCAAGGAGCGGACGGAGGTGGTCCTGCAGGGCACCGCCAGCCCCAATGCCAGTGCCCCCGACGCCGTGTGGGAGGACTTTGAATTCAAGTGCAAGCCGGGAGACCCCAGCAGACGGCCCTGCCTCATCTCCCCCTACCACTACCGCCTGGACTGGCTCATGTGGTTCGCCGCCTTCCAGGTGGGAGTCAGTCCCTGGTGGGTGCACGGACCCACCTTAGCCCACCGCTGCCTGCAGATTGCAGGTGCTTAGAGCGACCACTGAGGGGGTTGGGGGAAGGGAGGCTGAGGGGAGCTGGGATCCTGCCTGAGATGAGAGCTGAGCCCACAGACATCCAGGCCCAGCCTCAGGCGGAGCCTCATGTGACAGCCCAGCCCGTGCCAGGCAGCGCCTCATGGCTGGGCGCCGTAGCCAGACCCTGTATCTACAGAAAACACCGGAGTTAGCTAGCAGGGGAGGGCGGCGCCTGGGGCTTCAGCCACGGAAGGACCGGCTGAGCCCGACCCTGCAGCCTCAAGATGGTGGTGCCATTGCACTCCAGCCTCGGGGACAGAGCCAGACCCTGTCTCAGAAAACAGGAAGGCATCCCCCAGGCTGAGGGCAGCTGAGGCACCCACAGACCGAGTAGCTCGTTCTGTCCTCCCCGTCCTGTCTCAGCCGCCAGGACATGGAGCCTCAGGGAGGCAGAGCACAGAGTGAGCTGGGGCGGACAGGCAGGGGGCGAGGACAGCAGCCGGCATGGGAAGGAGTAGTCAGGGCTACAAGGAGCACGTGACACAGGTGCCCCTTAGGGACCCCAGCCAAAGAACTGGGGCACAGCCACCCAGGGAGCTCACCTCCGGGAAAGCCTTAGCACCACATGCCACTGGGCAGACCGAGAGGCAGGCGGGGGAGGGAGCAGAGGGCACGGCCAAGTGTCGGGAGGGGCTGCGCCCGGAGAGCACGCAGCGCAGCGTCCCAGCCCACCCTCTCCTCCCAGACCTACGAACACAACGAGTGGATCCTCCGCCTGGCCGCCAAGCTGCTGGCCGGCGACACCGCGGCCCTGTCCCTGCTGGCACACAGCCCCTTCGAGGGCAGGCCCCCACCCAGGTAGGACACCCTCCCCAAAATCCAGGCGTCAGGTGGGGCCTGCTGGGAGCAAAATGAGGACCCCATCAGCCTTGGCATCCCGGCTGGTCCCACCCCTGCCTCACAGCCCCCCCCAAACCAAACCTGCCGTGGCGAGAGGAGCCCACGGGGCCCGTGGTGAGCTGTGCCGGACCGACACTTGCACACCCCGGGATGTCATAGCCGAGAGTGTCTGGGGCTGAGGTCGGGGGGGTGGCTCTGACTCGTGGACAGGGGACCGAAGTGAGAGCCTTGTGGGCCCTGCAGGCTGGTCCCCCCCGGGCAGTGACATCCCGAGGAGGGAGCAATGCCGAGTCAGATTCTCAGGAGCCAGAGGCGGTGGCCATGGGGGAAGTCACCCTCCTCCCCTGACCCTGGATGACTTTTTGGACACCATGTGGAAAAGCTGGGTGCAGAGGGAGATGTCAAGGGCTGGGGGCCAGAGGCAGGGATTGGGCCCCACTGGGCTGTGGGAGGGGGCAGGGCGTGAAAGACTGGAGACTCCCACGTGGCCAGACCTGGGGCTGGGGGGCCACGCTGACAAGCCTTTGCGTTCCCCACCCCACATGATAAGATCAAGCGGAGTCTGGACTGCCCAACCCTCCCCCGCACCATCAGCCACCGATTCCGACAGAAAACACAGCTCTAGGTTTTCCCTCCAGGAACACTTCACTGAGAGCCAGACGGCTGCACCCCCTGGGGTTTCTCCCCGCTGTCTGGAGGGTGGAGGGCGGGGATGGAGGGGCGCAGAGGCAGCAGGAACACCTCCACAGAAATCTGCCCTCTCTGGTAAAGGGCCAGCAAAGAGCAGCCTAGCAAGACAGGAAACTTAGAGAAACTCACCACCACTCCAGCCCGCACCACGGAGAAACCACGGGCCACCCACCCCGGCAAGGGACGGGGTAGGGACCTGGACTCCCCTTGCTGGGGTGCTGCCAGCGGAGGCCAACATTTCCATCCCAGTGGGCAGGAAGGACCCCCGTGGGTACGGCGTCGGTGGAGAACACAGGAGCAACCTGGACTCCCCCAGCCCTGGCAGCACTGGGGGGCTCCTCCCGCCCCAGAGTGGTATGAAGTGAAAACCAGCAGAAAGAGCCTTCACTACCACCCAGCAGTGGCGAGGCCACCCCCAGGAAACAGCCTGGACAGGAGATGCTACACCGGAACCAGGAAACAGCCTGGACAGGAGATACACTGGAATGCCCTATTGACAAATCAAAATGAATTCCAAGAACTTCCCAAACCCATAGGAGAGCAGGCTGGGAAAAACAAGAAGTACCACGCTGGACTTGATATTCAATGTAAATGATCTAACTAAACAGTTAAATGACTGGCCAGGTGCAGTGGCTGATTCCTGTAATCCCAGCACGTTGGGAGCTCAGACAGGCTTCTCACTTGTCGGGAGCTCAAAATGGCCAGTATGGCAAAACCCTCTCTACCAAAAACACAAAAATTAGCCAGGCATGGTGGTGCGTGTCTATAATCCTGACTGCCCAGGAGGCTGAGGCCACAGTGAGCCAGGATCATGCCACTGCACTCCAGTCTGGGACTACCTGGCTAATTTTTTTGTGTTTTTAGTAGACAGTAGTTTCATCATGTTGGCCAGGCTAGTCTTGAACTCCCGACCTCAGGAGATCCACCCGCCTCATCCTCCCAAAGTGCTGGGTGACAGGCGTGAGCCACTGTGCCCAGCCAGAGACACAAGAAGACCCTGTCTCAAAAAAAAAAAAAAAAATAGTAACTTAAACATATGCATCATGAGCCTCGGCCCTGATAAACCCACTGTAAGTTGAAAACATAAATCAAAAATGCATTTAGGACACCTACCAAACATCAGTCGGACCTCAGCCTCACCTACTCCCTCAGACATGCCCAGAACACTTATGTGAGGCTGCAGTGGGCAGTCACGTAACCTACGGCCTATTTTATAATGAAGTCTTGAGTATCTTACGTGATTCACTGAATACTGCATTAAAAGTGAAAAGCCGAGTGGTCGCATAGGCACTCAAAGCAGTTTCTATACCGTCGTCAGGTGGAAAAACCCATCATTAGTGACCGTCTGCACAGGCAGGCTCAAAAGGACAGAAACACTCACGTGAATGGTGATGAAAATAAAGCAGTGACTGTATCAACATTGAGGCAGCACTCTGCAAAAATTCTCGGAGAGTGAGAACAGGGTCACCCCACCAAGCAGACGCAGCACCCCGAAGTGTGCACGCACTAAGCACAGGTCGGCAAAACGCGGAGGAGGAGAAACGGACAGATCGGCAATTACAGTCAGACGCTCCAACACCCTTCTCCCCACCATTGACAGAATCACGAGACGCAGATTTAGCCAGAACATAAAAGAACACCATCATCCACAAACAGGACCGAATGAGATTCACGGAAGTCAGTGAGAAGCGTAACATGTCATGTTACGTTGACACGTGTTAACTGCATGTGGAATGTACTTAACCAGGGATGAGGGGGAAAGCACCAGATGCCTACGTTAGAAAAGGGACGTGAGAGGTTAGCGAAGAGCGAAGATCTCGGCTCAGTCATCCAACCTCAGCTGGGTGCCGGCACACACCGGTAGTCCCAGCAACTCAGGAGGCTGAGGTGGGAGGATTGCTTGAACCCAGGAGTGTGAAGCCAGCCTCCTGCCATGAGGCAACACAGGAAGACCCCCATCTCTTAAAAAGTATGAAAAATCATCTAAGCTCAAGATTCTGTGAGCAGGGAAAGATTCCCAGCAAGGAGCAGTAAGAAAATAGTGACAAGTGGAAAATGAAATCAAAAACAGCGAAACTTACTGAATCAAAGAGATGGTTCTTTAAGAAGACCAATAAAATCAACAAACCTCTAGTAAGAATGACAAAAGGAGAAGATACAGTTGCCAATATCAGAAATGAAGAGGCGGGCGCGGTGGCTCACGCCTGTCACCCAGCACTTTGGGAGGCTGAGGCGGGTGGATCACGAGGTCAGCAGTTCAACACCAGCCTGGCCAACATGGTGAAACCCTGTCTCTACTAAAAATACAAAAAATTAGCAGGGTGTGGTGGCGTGCGCCTGTAGTCCCAGCTACTCGGGAGGCTGAGGTTGCACTGAGCCGAGATAGCCCCACTGCACTCCAGCCTGGGCAACAGTGAGACTGTCTCAAAAAAAATAAAAGTTACTAAATATAATTTGGAAATATATAACAAAGAATTACATACCATGACCAGGTAAGGCTTATTCCAGGGATAAAGGTGGTTCTGTATTTGGTAACCAACTGAAGACGTAACTTGTGTGATCGTATCCATTGGTGCAGGGAAAGCGCTTGACAAACTTCACATCTATTCATGATTTACCCTCTTGGAAAAATAGAGAAGCAGAGGAACTTCCTCAACTGGATACAGAGCATCTGCGGAAACCCCACAGCCAGCATTACCCACCGGGGAAGGAATCCACCCTCCACCGCTGGGATCCAGAACAAGAAAGGCTGTCTGCACCAACCATGGTATCCCGCGGTGCTGGACGGCCTGCCGCCGCAGTACGGCAGGACAAGGGTGTGAATCGGGCAGAGTTGTACTTGATACCAAAAGGTTGATCTGTAAAAGGAAAAACCGATAAACTGAACTCCATTAAAATTAATATAGATCACCAAGGAAGCAACAAAACTGTGCCTGTTCTCAGAGAACACCATCGTCTTTGTAGGAAAGCCCACGGAATCCAGCAAAACCACTCCTGGAATTAGTAAGTGAGGCCGGGCGTGGTGGCTCACGGCTGTCATCCCAGCACGTCGGGAGGCAGAGGCGGGCGGATCAGCTGAGGTTGGCAGTTCGAGACCAGCCTGACCAACACGGAGAAACCTCATCTCTCCTAAAAATACATTAGCCAGGTGTGGTGGTGGGTGCCTGTGATCCCAGCTACTCTGGAGGCTGAGACGGGAATCACTTGAACCCAGGAGGCGGCGGTGCGGTGAGCCGAGATCACGCCACTGCACTCCAGCCTGTGCGACATCCCAAAGCCCATCTCAAAAAAATACAACCTTTGGGGAAAATATTCAGGAAAAAATAAAATATTTGGGAGGTAGGGCCAGGCAGAGCCATTATACTTGATTCTAAAAGGATGGTCTGTAAAAGGAAAAACTGGTAAATGGAACTTCATTAAAATTAAAAGCAATTTGCTCCATAGACCCCGTTAAGACGACGAAAAATATTTTTAAGCTACAGACTGGTAGAAAATGTTTGCAAGCCACATACCTGACAACAGGCTAAAATCCGGAATACGTAAAGAAGTTTTAAAATTTAACAGTGAAATCATCTTATTAGAAAATGAACACAGGAAGAGACATTCCACCGGAAACGACACACAGACGGCACAGAGGCCCCTGAGACACGTTTGTCATTAGGGAGGTGAGCGAGAACCCCCGGGAGACACCACTGCACCCTGTCAGAAGGGCTGGAATGAAATAGCAACACCCCCGCACGCTGGCACCGAGGCCGAGAAGTCCCGTCACGCGTATGTGGCTGGGAGGGGAGCATGGCTTCTCAAAAAAACAAAACCCAAGGTTGCCATGTGACACAACAGCTGCTTCCATGGACGTCTAGACCGGAGTTAAAACCCAGGCTCATGCAGAAACCCATGCGGAGGTTTCTGGTAGCTTTAACAGACAAACGCTGCAAAAAAACCACAGCTGTCCTTCAGCAGAACCACCGCCCACACTAGGGCGCGCTCATGCCGCGCGACGCCTCGCTGAGAACTGCGCCCAGCCAGCAGCCCCTGTCCTGAAGGCACCTGCTGTAGGATTCCACTCCGATGATGCTCTTGAAATCATCAAGGAAGCAGAAGGGGGGTGGGTGTGGAAGGGCACAGGGGTCCGGGCGCTGGTTGGGATCCCTACTCCAGCTGTGCAAGATGGCAAGATGGTGTCAGTGCGGGCCGATTATAAAGGCTGGGAGGTCCCCTTTTAAACACCCCAGTCTGCTGGGGACAGTGCCATGGCCTTCGCGGGTAGTCTGTCTGCGGGAATGAAATGCAACCCTTCAGGCCGCTGGGGGCCTGGGGCCCCTTCCCACCGACCTGCCAGTTGGCACAGAGGGTTCTGACCCTTTCCAAACTGCTGTTCCAGCTCTTGGTGTCAGAGACCAGCCCCAGTCCCCCCAGGCCTGACCCTGTCCGGGGAAGGAGAAGAAAGTGAGACTGGGAATTTGAGAAAGATGGGCAACCCCACTGCAGAGGCCTTCCTGGGACCCCCGCCAAATGCAGGTTTGGGACAGGGTAGGCCTGAGTGGGGTCCCCATTCCCCCAGCAAGGGCCAGGAGCATGTGCGGGGATCATGCGGCCACCGCTGCTCAACATCCTCACCACCTCACGCCAGCCCCTGGCCCCTCCACCTGGTACAGGCTGCTCAGAGGGCAGCTGTGGGGTCCAGCGTGACTTCTCTGCTTGGTGCCGCCTGGCCTCACTCCCCTTGCCGGCCACTGCTATCCACACAGCCAGGAAAAGCTATGGTGGCCCCGGGCCCAGGGTGTCCAGGAAAGACCCTGGGGTCCTGGGGTAGTGGGCAGTGCCCTCCCGGAGTGGACGGAGCCACCAGCTGCCCCCACTGCCCTCAGTCTTGAGTGCCTGGCAGGTTTTCCTAAGACACAACCCCTCCTCTTGGAGCTGCTGATCCCTCTCTCCCAGCAGGGGCCTCAGGGACCCCTCCCACCCAGAGGGTCACTACCTTCCCAGTTTTTCTGGGCAGTTCTGACTCCAGGAGAGAGGACCTGTCATCCATCACACATACCCAGACCCAGAGCCAGGAGGGGCAGGGCGGGCGCAGAGGTCCTCACCCTCCCAGCCCAAGGGGCACGGCCCAAGGTCTCCTCCCAGACCCCCACAGCACAGCTGTGTGCTGGTCGAGGGAAGCCCCAGATAACAACAGCACCCCAGACCGTCGGGCGCGGGCCCTGGGGTGCTGTGAAGCCACCGGCGCTGGCCTGGGCTCATCCCAGGGGCCATCAGGGGGCCCGAGTCCTCTTACGGCTGCGTCCTCACACTCATCCAGCGGCTGGGGTCCAGCTCTGCCCTAGGGGCTGAGAAGCTTCCACACCTGCTGCTCAACTGGGGCGGGGGCCTGGAGTGATGGGTGGGGCTGGCGGGGGGGACCTGGACAGCCAAGCAAACCTGACACTCGAGGGGCTTCGTCTCACCCCGAGGCCCAGGCCTCCGAGAGCCAGTGAGGGCCTGCCGGCACAGGACCAAAGCCCAGGGGGGCCCAAACCACGCCCAGGCACCAGGAGTCATCTGGGGCATCCACAATGCTCAGCCGAGAGACCTGCCGCTGCCCCGGTCCAGGGGAGATGGGGTGCTGGTCCAGAACAGCAGGCAGCCGGAGTCTCCACAGCTCAGGGAGGGAGGCCAGGGCCACGCCCTCAGGCAGTGGGGTCCTGGCCTGGCTCCCTCGCAGTGTCGGGCTGCCTCATTGACAGAAACCCCTGGTCACCTTGAGCCAGGGCTGGCCTGATGGTGGAGCCGCCACGCCGTGGGCAGCACCTTCCCAGGCAGGAGTCACTTGAGACTCAAATCAGGGCCTTGGGAACAGCGTCGGGCCTGCTCCGTGCCAGCCACGAAGCCCCAGCCTTCCCGGTGGTCACTGCCATGTGGTCCCTGCCGGGTCTCCTCTCCTAGAGCTGCCCCATATCCACCCTGCGCCACCCCTGGCTTCTCTTCCCCGCTTTGCTGCGCTGTTCACTGCTGGGGTGTGGACGGGGACGGTCGCCCTGCTGGGGGCTGCTCGGGTCGGCCTATGCTCACTGTGGGGGCTCCTCTTGCAGCCCCTCTCTCCTCGGGGAACCCTGGGCTGGGAGTCCCAGCAGCCCCAGGCTGACGCTGCCCCCTTGCAGGTGGGTCCGAGGAGAGCACTACCAGTACAAGTTCAGCCGCCCCGGGGGCAGCCACGCCGCGCAGGGCAAGTGGTGGGTGCGGAAGAGGATCGGCGCCTACTTCCCCCCACTTGGCCTGGAGGAGCTGAGGGCCTATTTCAGGGACCGGGGGGAGCCTCTGCCCGAGCCCCTCTAGGCATGCACCAGAAATAAAGGCGAAGACCCAGCCCTGCAGCTGCTCAGCGACGTCTGCCCTTCCCTGGGCCCGACCCAGGCCCGGCATTGCCAAGAGGGACATGGAGAGAACAGCAGTGGGGGCCCCACATCCAGGCCAACCTTTGTCCCAGGCGCCGGCAGGGGGCTCGGGGCTCTGCTCTCCCGTCCACCAGGCCCAACCTGGGGCCGTTGCACCCCCAGAGTCGGAACAGTGGCCATCCTGACACCTGTTTCCAGTAAAGCCCCGGCCTCAGGCCATGGACCTCTTGGGGTCCCTAGCATGCTGGGGGCTGGTTTCTATTCACCCCTCCATAGTGTGTTCCCGCCCAGGCCCCGTGGTGTCTGGGGCAGCCCAGCACTCGCCCCACAGGGACCTGGACGTGCCCAGCCAGGATGTGGGGTTGGGGATGGGCATTTTCTGTCCTCACTGCCATCTCCACCCCCCCTGGAGCCTCCTCGAACCCCACACCTGCAGGTGCATACATGCCGTCGTCACAGGGACACAGCTGGGCACACGTGCATTCTGGACCGTTTCCTCCCTGGTGACTGGGGTCTCAGCGTTGCCAGCCCAGCCCTCCAGGCTAGGACCATGCTGTCTCTGGGGCCTTGACGAAGCCCGAATTGGAGGACAGCCTCTCCGACACCCTTTGGTGGTCAGGGGACACACAGCCCCGAGTGCATATTTTTCTATTACTCCTGTTCTTCTACCATGGACCAGAGTGCTTCAAAACAAACGACTTCGATGAAGAAGCCCTCATCCCTCCCTCCCCTCGGCGGGGACCGTGCCCCCCACCCACCCTCCACTGCTGGGGAGCAGGTGACCCAGTGGGACCCAGGCTTGAGGGGCAAATGGGGGAGGGGTGAGGGCAGGGGGCTTTGCCAGGTGATCTTTCCAGTCCCTGCCTCAGGAGTCCTTAGGCCTAACTGGGCTGAGCAGAACCACCAGCCGGGGGTTCCAGAGGGGGGCAAAGCTGCGGGGCTGCATCCCCCCACCCAGGATGCGGGGGAGGCTGGGTCCCTGGAAAGGTCAGGAGGACAGAGGCCCTCTCCTCTCCCCCCGCCTGGGGGGCAGCCACCCGCCCCTTCCACAGCACTTGGAGCGACGCTGCCCACGGCGGAGCCACTGTGGGGGCTACGGCGGGGACAACACAGGGGTTCAGGCAGAGGAGGCCAGGCACAGTGCGGGTCTGTGTGGAGTCCCCCGAGGCCCGCCCAGGGGGAGTCTGGCCAGGTGCGAACAGAGGGCCCGTGTTCCAGCTCCTGGGAAAACAGGGCGCCCTGTGTCTGTGGAGGGACAGACGGGGCCTCAGAGGGACGCGCCAGGAGCCAGCAAGTCTGCCAGAGCGACCACGAGGAGCTGTCGGCCCCGGGGTCCGTCCCAGGGACTCTGCTGTGGGTGGGGCCCGGCCCTGTGGCACAGCTCAGGGGTGGGTGTCTCAGACAAGGGACCCATCACCTGGGAAACGCTGGCGCTAAGGGGTGTCCCCACCTGGCCTCTGCACGGGGGAGGCAGGAGGAGCCAGCAGCCCTGCGAGCCCCCTGCCTGGAGCCCTCCCATGTGGCCCCAGATCCCACAGCCCCTCCTCCCGGGGCCCCTTGCCCTGGTTCAGGCTCCTCTTGGCCCAGAGCAGCCGTGTGTCCCCGGTCTCCCGGACACCCTGTAATGGGGCTGCAGGTCCTGGGCGAGTGGGGCAGGGCAGGAGCCCATGGTAGGAGTAACAGGCAGCTCCGAGGCGCCACAGCACCATCCTGGAACCATAGGAAGGGCCTGCAGAGCCCTGGAGCAGGCACTGCCTCCTCCCTCTGGGGTGGCAGCCGTGGCGCCCAGGGGACCTAGGGGCAGCATGACAGGCGGGGCGTCTGGGGTCAAGTCACGCAGCACAGGGCAACAGCCTGTAGCGTGTAGTGTGCTCCGACGCCGTGTGTCCACCACCCGCTCCGGCCAGCGCCTTTCCATCTTCCAGATGGCACGGCCCCAGAGCCCTCGCCTCACACCCCCGAGGGGCTCCCTCTA